GGAATCTTTTCAGGGAATTTCTCTCTTGTCATCGCAACCTGTATAAAAAACCTCGTTATTCCGACCAGGTTGCCARTGTGACCATGTTATAGGGGGTATATGTAGTTGTTCGCTTACCTCAAAACAGTCGCCAAAATCGATATGAAGAATACGACCGCTTAGACGGTCCAACATGAGATTGGACGGATGCCTGAAATCCAGTAAACGCAACAAAATAAAAAGAGGATATATAAGGTTTCTACCTAGTGACGGGGTAGGCTCAAGGCTGATGATTTTCCGTGTTTAAATAAAGTTTGTTTGATTGATTGATTGATGATTACATGGCCTTGTACTACGTCAAGCCACGCACCACAAACAGCGTTGTGTAAATCTTACGTAAAACGCCTTATTTTCGTACCTGTCTCCCAGACCRAGTACGTAACCGACCATCGACATGACAGCTAAAGATCTCGTGTAGTTGGTACGTCTATCAAACCATACCTAATAAAAAAATTTCAAAATACAATCAAGTCTGGCCTTACTAATACTCCCGATATTGGTTCAGTTTTAAAGTACCTCAGAACTYGGACTCTTCAGCCAAAGTAGTTTTGCTAGGTCATCGCCATTAGTGTTGGACAAGGCRTGTTCAAAGACCTCAACCTTCTGCATCAGGGTGAGGTGGTCGTAATCTGGTGCCATCTGGAATCACAACAGAACATCCATTAAATCTTTGATCCCACGTAAGACACGAAAATTGACAGACCGAATTCTGGACAGACGGATACAGCTATTTCAAAAMACGTTGTCGGGGAGAACGGCAAACGGCGATTGTCGAAGGGAGATTGCACGACCGAAAGGGACTATGTTTACACTGTTTTGATCAACAAAATTTGACTTGTTGGATTTACCTTACATAGAAATTGAGACAAAATGGAGCCAATGTTTACCATAGACAATCTTACAGTACAAATCAGTTGTTATTGCCTTACAACTAGCAGAACCCATGGTTACTTTCGGTCGTGCAATCGCAATTATCCGACAACATTTATTGAAACAGCTATATATAACTTATCCAGCAAAGTTTTTTAATAAGCATGATATTACGCTCAATGGTGTTGCCTCAACAGACAGACAGATAGACAGACAGACATATAACTTACCCTTAACATAATCCGATGCTCAATATTCAACAAAATCTTCTTTTTCTCGCGATAGTCCCTTATAAGGGCATGTAAGGTATCACAGTGAGGTACCCAGCCAATCAAACCAGAGTTGGTGGACAGCGGTATCACTGCATAACGCTGTATGCTATTAAAAACAGAATGGTATATTAATAAAAACATCGGTTTTTCCACTGCCACTGCCAGGGGACAAAAATCGCCACTTTATAAAACAGCTATAGACTTCTGAAGCTTTTTTTGGGGGGATCATTTTGAAGAGAAAACAAAAGAGATCCACCATGTTCTGTCCCAAACATATCCTACAATGCATTGCATATACGGTACATTACGTAAAAGCTTCAGATTTCTATTAACGCAATATGATATCTCACAAACCTATAAGGACTTCAAACGTGTAACGCCGTGCCAACCGTTGTAATATTCAAATCTAATTTGCATGTCATTTCCTTATTTGGAACACTGAATTAAATTTACCCTATAGCCAACCAGAACGGGCCTTAAATCTCTTATCCAACGGCCGAATTTTCCAAATATGGTCATAACGTTCGTTTTCGAATTTTTAATGAGCTTTGAATATTCCGACGCTTGGTACTAAAGAAATGAATGGGCGTTACATTTCTGGATATCTTTACCTTAGATGTCTCTTTGATGTCTCTCTGTCGCTTGATAACAAAGTGTTTACTAGACCAAAAAGTTGCATCACACGCTCGTCTTGTCGTAAGTCTTCGTGTCCTTTGAGAAGAAACATGGAGTCCACACCGTTGCTTCCTGAGGACAAAAACTCAACTAGTAATTATCCCTTTACATCATACTAAAACGTGGACCAATAACCATCTAATTATATACTAAAACTCAAACAATAATTTCTCATATCATACTCAGCATCATCCAATAATTTCTGATATCACACTCAGAATCGTCCAATAATTTCTGATATCACACTCAGAATCGTCCAACAGTTGCTGATATCACACTCAGAATCGTCCAAAAATTGCTGATATCATACTCAGAACCGTCCAATAATTGCTGATATCACACTCAGAATCGTCCAATAATCACCCATATCATCCCAAATATCACAACAATAACCCACCTGAGATACAAAGTTTTCTTGGCCGTTGTTTCGATGTTATGACATTGAGAGATGAGTGCACGTGACGGATGTGAATGACAGGTTTATGAGGTTCATACGTTCCTGGGACGGCCAGCTCTAGATCACGTGACATTAGCAGTTTAGGGGACACGTATTGGAGCTCTAGTGACGTCAGCTGAATAACAAAACATTCTTTTTAGATGAATATATGACATACTATTATAAAGAGCTTTTAATAAATAGACGATATTACATGGGCGCGCGGAGATACGGATTTTATCTTCGAGTGTTGAGATTTTCAGCACGAGAAGATAAAATTCGTATCTCCAAGCGACCATGTAATATTCTATTTATCATATAATTGTATATGAAAGCAAATTATGTCGCAAAATAGCTTTTTGCTTACTTCCACTAAATAGAGAAACCTCGAATGTGTTATTTTCACTAGTGAAGATATCAAGTTTACGAAATGGAGAAATATAAGTATTTCATAGACAATTATATGATAAATGCATAGGGATAAGTACTGAGAAGCAAGAGTTTTAACAGGCGCTGTTTCTTTTGATATTATTGTTGGATATGTTGTTGCTGCTGATCAGGATGTAGCTGTCACTTTATTACTATTGTTGTTACAGTTCTCATTATTGCTATTGTCCTTGTTCTTACCTGTGGTAGCTGTTTGGAGATTCTTCTGAACACCATATAATACAAATCCCAGGCTTGTGTCAAGTCTTTGACATTGTTAGACTTCTGATATCGACGACACCATTCCTGAGCTTCCATRAGATCCCTGCCGTAAGCCTATGAACACGAGATTTCACAATGATAAGTTTTGAAGGGACATGGTCCACCAGCATTCAATGCGATAGTGCTTTAGATTTTTCATATATGGAAAATGAGGTGACTTTGAATATCCATTCACAATCAGTTTCCATCCATCGGTTTAAAGCTGGAATCTTACAGTATCTCCATTCATAYAATATAAAGGGATGATAAAGAGTAAGTTTTTGCTTATATAACGATGTATTTTTCTTTTCAAATATAAAGAAAAGCTCGAAAGAGATGTTGTTGGACCWTGTCCCTGTAAAACAAAAGGGTCGAAGTAAACCAGAAACAGGAAAGCATTTTTTGTGGATATCGACGATACCTGGTTGAATGACGTCTCCTTCAATGTTTGTGGTCCTCGTTCCATCATTTGATGTAATGGTTCCAGCACTGCAAACATTCCCTTGACGTTGCCTTCACCGAAGTAAAGACGAGAAGCTTCCTCAAGACCTTCGTGCCATAGTTCATGCCAAAGAATAGCGACGCGAATTAGCTCTTCGCTGACCTAAATGTACAGATTGATACTTATAACAACATCAACGACAACGATAATAGCAACAGAAGCAGCAGCAGCAACAACAGCAACAACAGCAACAGCAACAACAACAGCGACAACAACAGCAACAACAACAACAACAGCAGCAGCAACAACAACAACAACAACAACAACAACGAAAACAACAGCAACAAAGACAACAACAGCAGAAACAACAATAACAGCAGCAACATCAACAACAGCAACAGCAACAACAACAGCTTCAACAACAGCCGCAGCAACAACAGCAGCTACAACAACAACAGCAGCTACAACAACAACAGCAGCAACAACAACAACAGCAGCAACAACAGCAGCAGAAACAGCAGCTACAACAAAAACAACAGCAGCAGCAACAAAACAACAACATCAGCAACAACGAAAACAACAACAACAACAGCAAAAACAATAGAATTCGACACATGAGGGATTGGACGTTTCAAAACAAACCTTAGTAGTAGTGACTTACCATAATGGCCTGCTGGACTAGTTGTTGACTATGTTCGCACATGTTCTTCAAGATCTGATTGGCTGCACTATGACGGGCACTGCTCGCTGACTTGGACGCCACCGTCAATGGATAGATGAGAGCCTGATAAATTAATAAAATTAGATTACTTAATAATAGTCTCCTTCACGGTTACCTGCGCCATCTTGAAAGGTAGCTGTGTCTTTGCATCCAAGCGAGACGACCGTTGAGTGTGAAATGATAGATACCTGTGAATAATTGTCTGTAGGTGTGAAATAAGATTTCTATCATTGCACGCTCAACGGTTGTCTCGCTTCGATGCAAAGGCACGGCTACCTTTCAAGATGGCGCAGGGAATCGTGAAGATAGTCTCCTCGCAGCCGTGTTTAGTTTCGGTCACGCGTCACGCATTCATTCACTAGACATAAGGGATGGCGGTTGGTGATTATCATATTTAAATATAAAAATAGCACTATAAAATTATCAACGAACATCACGATGGGTTACCTGTGGATGATGYTTTCCTATATCAGTCAATAATTGGTTTATCAATCGTCCTACAAGTTGTCTYGGTGTATCAATCCTTGCTATYAGYTGTGGTATAACCTGCAGCCAATTATCGATCTGTATCGTCTTGATTCCTTCTACAAGGGACTCGTAMACCTCYGACTGATGGCCATAGTCGAACCATAGTGTTAGAAGACGGAGCGTGTCTTGTAATGAATTACCGCTGGAYAACGCAATGGAYTTGAAGAAGCCATGTACTGCGGGCACGGCATACGTAATGATGGGATTGACGTTCTAAAAGGAAAAAAAAGAAAATGAACCGACGGACACCACCAGAYCGACACTATATATCAYAGACCCTCTRTATTACAGGCCCTCTATATWACGGACACTTCTATATTAYAGACACCTCTATATTACGAACACCTCTATATTACGAACACCTCTATATTACGGACACCTCTATATTACGAACACCTCTATATTACGGACACCTCTATATTACGAACACCTCTATATTACAGACCCTCTATATTACGGAAATCTTTAAATTACAGACACCTCTATATTACGGACACCTATATATGAACTCACCTTTGGTGAAGTTGGAGGGGTTCCAACGGTTGARCTGGTATTCAAAGCCGTYTTRCCCTGTCCAGGTTGGTTTTTGTAGTACAAAACAGCCTCAAARTTCATGAATGCCCAGGAATGCCAGGCCTGAAATGACATCAAACGAGAACTCAGTCGTATGGCTACATTTGAGAAAGKTTTGTACAAAATTCGACAAAGATTCGTAAAGAACTCGAGTATGGTTCTTTTATAACCCGGGGAATGCTCGTGAAGAACTCGAGTTAGCTTCGTAAAGAATTCGACAAAGCTTCGTAAAGAAGTCGACAAAGATTCGTAAAGAACTCGAGTATGGTTCTTCTATAACCCGGGGAATGCTCGTGAAGAACTCGAGTAAGCCTCGTAAAGAATTTGACAAAGGTTCGTAAAGAAGTCGACAAAGATTCGTAAAGAACTCGGGAATTATTCGTTAAGGACTCGGGAAACGTTCGTGTAGAACTCGAGTAAGTTTCGTAAAGAATTCGGTTCGCACCTTGTAACAGTTTCGATCATTTTCCGTAGCGTCCGAGTAATATTGCAGAATCTGTGGTATTGTGTTGTCGCTAAACCCTTGTAACGACGACATCCAGTCACCGAGCTTTAGGTAGCATCTAAACCAAGAAACAATAAATAAGTGAACTACTTTTCAACATGGCACTGGAATATTTAGCCTCCCTCAGACCCACCGTGACATTAGCTTCAGTAGTTCTTCTCGTTTATTATCGTCATCAGTTGGTGACAGGGACTGCAAGGCTTGTTGATGAAGTGTGGTGTGGACAAAGCGTTGTAGATGTTGAAAAGCATCTTCCTACATCAGGAAAAAACAGAAGTTAGAATTATGTGAATGAAAGGATGGAAGAACAGAAGGCAGTAGAGAGGGAGGAAATTAGGAAGGAAGGAAGGAAGGTAGGAAAGAGAGAAGGGAGGAGGGAAGAAGGAGAGAAGGGAGGAAGGAAGGGAGGGAGGAACAAACAAACGAAAGAAGGGAGGGAGTAAAGGAGGGAAGGGAGGAATCATCATGGTTCTCTTTATCATCATTACATCACGATCATACCACCACCACGTACCTTCTGTCCTTCCCTCCACATATGCTTCATGTAAGCAAATGTGACTTGTGGGTATGTTGTGGGCAGCGGTTGATCAGTATGTTTTGAGGGATCGCTACCCAATAACATAACTAACGTCTTGTGACTCAACGCCAAACGACCGCTCTTACGACACAGACTAGAATACTTCAACCACGATTGCATGTCTTCCTGTGGGGTGAGGACGAGAGAGCGAACTTGAAGGATCTTTTGCCAGTCCTCGACAACTCGCTGACATCCCTGGAGGCGGTTCCACCATGTTCGTTTGATTGMCTCGCGTCGTTCAGGAATCAGCTTGTATTGGATGATTTCCTCGAGTTCTGAGAGCATTTGCACTGTAACCATAGCCTGAAAAAAATAAAGGACCATGATGCTTTGCTCTAATGACGTCATGTCATTTTCCGCGTGATGCACCATGGGATTGATGAAAATACAAACTGAAGCCATGTTTTTCGACCAAAAAACATTAGTTATTTCTCACTCAGGTCTTTGAATATTCTTTAATGAACAGATATATCATTTATTGTTCATTTCTATTACGCTCGACAGCGGATAGCGTTTTTTTACAAAAGAAACATCGTCCTTCGTAGAGTTTTTATGACATCCTCCATCTTGAAAATTTCATCAATACCATGATGCACTTCGCCGAAACAACTTGACGTCATTAGCGGGAAAAGACCATTGATTGTTAGTTTTGACATAAGTAATCGGCTGTCTGTCCGTCTGTATTTTTGTCTGTCTGTCTGTAAGTTTAACAAACAAATCTTACCCCATACGCACGGTTGTAGCTCTCCCCAGCTCTTGCCGTTAGTTCAGTGTCCAAGATATCACGTGCAGCATCGATRCACTGTAAATAAACCAATCATCAAGTAAGTCGTATGCAGTCGTAATATGGTCGTGGAGTGATCGTGACACGCTCGAGATGCAGTCGTAAGGTGATCGTAAAGTAATCGTGATACCCTCGATGTACTCATCCATGGAAATATCTTTTGCAAAGTGATCGTAGGTCAATCGCGATGTAATCGTAACGTAATCGTCGTGTAATCGTGATGTTGTCGTACTTACTGCCTGAGCTTGCTGGAAATGATCGTGATGAAGCGCTAAGGCTGCTCTGTAGAAGGCACCTTCTTGAGTCTCTCTTGGTATCATACAAGTGTATTCCTCCATGCTATCCCAGTTATCTATGTTATCAATTAATCAATAATTAATCTCTACTCCTAATAATAAATCAATAATTATTTATTATTAATAAATAATTAATAAATGTTAATAAATAAATAATAATCAGAATACAACGTAAGCAAAGAATTAAGCCCAGTTGATCAAGTTTTTTAGTTCTTACCTAGTCCCCACGCGGCGGCCGCAGCCATTCGCGCCATTTGCTTTCTGGTCTCGTCGCTAACGTTAGGCCATTTTTCACATGCAACACGATGAAGCTCGCCCCTTAAAAGAAACAAATACGTATACTAAATGAATATGGCAGTTAAATTCGGGATCTGGGTGGTCATATTAAGTGTTTGGTCGTAATGAGTTGGTGGTCGTAATGAGTTGGTGGTCATAATGCGGGGTTCAACCGTGATTATAGATAGAGTGGCGATGATTGCTGCATACCATTCTCCCAAAGCCTCCATACATCGCATTTTGCCCAAGTATAAATCCATGTCATCAGGATCCTGGTCAAGTTTTTTCTTGTACGCCGCTAATGCATTATCCCAGTCGTGCAACTTTTCGTACCATCGCTCTCTGATTTCCTGGAAAAGGACGTCACAGAAAATTAGGACTTCATACAACGTTGAATCTCACACGTGCGGAGTTCAATGTAAGTGACTCCGATCTGTTTTTAGTCATTATAATCTCATTTACAYTGAATTCGACACATGTGAAATTTGACGTTTTAAGAAGTCCTATAAAAATGTTAAACATTCGTATGTTAAAGAAGTATGGTCATCCGTCATTCAATGCGGTTGATCTGATAGTTTTCATATATGGAAATAAGATGACTTCCAATATCAATTCACAATCCGTTTCCATCAGCCATTTTTAAGGTCGAATCTTACAATATCTCCATTCATAGAGCATAAAGGGATAATAAAGAGGGAGTTTTTACTTATATTGCGATGTATTTTTTCATTTTCAAACATGAATAAAAGCTTGAAATTGATGGGTTGACCACTTACCACATCTGTTCCATGCTTATTTGTTGCGTACACAAGTACACCATGTGCAGCCTCGGGCTGTTGTAACTTGTTGTTGATACTAAAGAAATGATAATTATATACAGGATTTGACAGGATTTAAGACTTTTTGTAATCACTGATACCGTGTTGATTTTCACTAAAAATATTCCAGGACTTTACAAGTACTTTTAAAGCACAAAAATGCGATTTTCAAGGACTATTCTTCTACGCTATATTAGCCTCAATTGTGTGCAAAATATTCAGAAATTTTGATAAAACTCGTGAAATTTCAAACTGTTTCCATTGTCTTCTATAATTACGGATCTCTTGTATTTTCATGCGCTGTTAGTGAATAAAAATTTATTACATGGGTTTGAGGCTAACACAGCGTAAAAGAGATCGCTAAAAGGGTTTATTCAGTGAAACCCCACCTGATCAATGCTTCTAGAATCTCAGCTGTCGCTTGTCGATGGAACTCTTCTTCCTTGTAGTGCAAGGCCTTGGCGTACGCTCGGCACTTTGACGCCTGCTCTCCAAGTAAATCACTGCTCAGCGGTAACGCCCCTTTGTCTGTATGCTCCAARAACTCGGCCAGGTTGAGAAGWGTCTGTGTTATCTCAGGGATCTGACTTTTTAGTGCCAGCTCTAAGTTTCGAACTAGTTCATTCTGAATTAACAGAGGAAAGGTTATTATGATCGTTTGTGATCGTACTTGATAGTGAGAGGAATCGATGTTACCTGTAGTTCTTCGTGAAGTTCAGACCAGCAAGATACAAAAGCTGCATTGAAGAGATCCCTATAAAACATAATTGACAATTAGTACTTCAAAAGATATGAAAAGAAACGAATACATGAGAGAAGAGAAGAGAAGAGAAGAGAAGAGAAGAGAAGAGAAGAGAAGAGAAGAGAAGAGAAGAGAAGAGAAGAGAAGAGAAGAGAGAAGCAATTCAGAGCAAAAATGGTGGACAAAACCAACCTTGCCAGGGGAGGGTAAGTCTGAGCTGTTGCCCAACATGACCTCAGTGCTGGGGAAGGTGACTCTTTAAGCAGTTCCACACTAAGCCTTCGTAACCATTCCATCCAGTCGTCTTTAGAAACACAACGAACAGCGTCCCAAGCCTAACGATAAAAACACCAAAGATCTTGATCACTCGAAGAATTAAAATCTACCTAACCGCACAATGTTTTAGTATGAAAGTAATGTATTATTACCTTGGACAAGCTATCTGGTTTGAAGGCTAGTTTCTTGATGCTTGCAGCTTCAATGGCCGCTGTCGTWGCAGAATCGTCGGCAAAGTTTCCTTTACCAGTCTTTTGTCGTCGAAGCACGGGATTCGTGTCCCATTCCAACACAAACGAACTCTGAAGAAGACGAGATGCAAGTATATCAACGCAGATTATGATGGATTGGTGGAATGAAGGAAGAAAGAGAGGAAGAAAATAAAAAAGGGAGGAAGGAAGGATAGAAAGAAGGGAAAAAGGAGAAGCGAGAAATGGGGAATGAAGGGAGGGAGAAAGGTAAAAAGAAAAGCAAAAAGGGGAAGGAGGAAGGAAGGAAGAAAGATAGGGAGGAAGGAAGGAAGGATTGAAAGAAAAGAGAAAGGGGAAGCGAGAAATCTGATAGAGAGTGAGGGAGAAATGTATAAAGACAAGAAAAGGGGGAGGAAGGGGGGAGGAAGGGGGGAGGAAGGGGGGAGGAAGGGGGAGGAAGGGGGGAGGAAGGGGGGAGGAAGGGGGAGGAAGGGGGGAGGAAGGGGGATAGGAGGAACAGAAGAATGCATGAAAATGAAAACAACAGCAGTAGCAACAAAAACAACAATGACACAATATAACACCTTGACAATCTTGGTAATCAATACATCATAACGTAGATGTTGTATTCTGTGTTTTACCAACACCTGGAATTAAAAATATAAAGTGTAAACAAATGTAGGGCATCAAAAAACATAAGTGGACAAGAAAAAAAGAGTATATAACAATGAATGACTGAAAGATTGACTGATTGAATGAATAAATAGGTGAACYAACTGATTGACTGATCGATTGCAGAGCTGACAGATTGAGATGAATGGCTGGGTGACGAGCTGAGTGACTAACTGYRGCTGACTGAGTGAATAAATACCACATTACCTTATTGACAGTGGGTATAAATGTAGAATATCTTTTCCCAAGCTGRTACACAAGGCAAGACAGWGTATCCATCGCYGTACCTCGTAGTTCAGGGCATTTATCAAGTGTACGAACWATTGGATGGATGATTCTTGATGCAAAATCAGTCAAGTCGAGAGATTCACTTAGTCTGTCAAGGGTTTCTAGAGCACATCTAAAGAAATAATGGGATAGAATTCTAAGGCTGGTGATGATGATGGTGATGATAATGAAGATAATGATAATGATAATGATGATAACAACGATGGTAGTGATTACGACGTGACTATCGTTATTTTAGTCACATCAATAGCAATTATTAATAATTTTCAAAATATCAATAATTACTAATTTATTTACTTAATATAGCACTCGTTAACATTACAAAGATCAAAATATCGCTATCATCATTACGATAAGAATGTCCCTTTCGACTAATGACGTCATGCAGATTCGGCGAAATGCATCATGGTACCACCAAAATTATCAAAATGGCGGTTGTCTTTAAAAAAAATGCGGAAAAAAACGAATGTTCTCTGCAAATTTAACATTCAGCCCTTGTCGACAATTCTTTAGAAGAACATTAAATGAGATGGCTGTTCACCAGAGTATACTCAAAGTCTTTCCTGAGAAACAGCAACTGTTTTCTGCAAAAAAACGACGCGACATACAACTTGGCTTTAATTTGTCCTTTCGTCAATCCCATGATGCACCTCGCCGAATATCGCATGACGTCACAGGTCGACAATAACATACTTTCTAACAGTCATTGGGATATCATTTGAGTCAAAAAGTCTGACGACTGGAGGAACAAGAAGGTGAAGATAGTCATCAAGGCTTGAGCCAAACATTTGTAGAGCGTTCAAAAGCTGTAAACAAAAACAAACTATCAATCCAGTAACATTGAACTTGGACTTGTTAGCGCACAAAGGAAGACCTTTTGCTGCAGCCATCTCATGCAACATGCCCAAGTCCTCCTTACAACATAGTCCTTAGAGCGGATTTCGTATGAGTGGGAAACTGACGGTACTGTACTGTGACCGTAATCGTACTTTAACCAAAATTCTAGTGCCCCATTGATTCACCAAAATTGTGCAGGCCAGGTCCGGTAACTGTGCGGTAACCGTGCGGTAACGGTGTCCCACTCATACGAAATCCGCTCTATTACGACCCACGGAAAGCCTTGTGACGCAATGTATTTTGGGATTGATAAATGATTAAACAAGGGAGCAACGATGTCAGTGCTCCAGTCTGTAACATAGACTCAGTTTTCGAAAAATATTGGGAAATATTGACATTATAGTTATTCTCAGAAGCGAAAAAACAAACAAATATCAACAAGCAAGGAAATACAGCAAGAAAAAATTTCAAAAAATGTACAGTTCATCGAGAATTTCCATTTACTAGGCAAATCAAGCAAATATGAAAACAAACACTTTTTTTATGTGGAAAAAAAGAAACTAATTAACTAGTGGTTTTACGATTTTAGCCGATTTGTTTTGATGAAGAGGAAAGGGAGATTTATATCCCACGAAACATTGCAAACCGATTCAAAATGGCAGGCTTGTAATATGGACTATGGTTACAACTGTTGTAGGGTTATGAAATGTTATTAGTGGCCTCACCTTAGTGGTTACGCTCCTCTTTTCGCTATTGTCATGCATAAAAACTTTAAGTATCTGAGGAATAATCTGCGGCAAGTAGTTCTTGAATTCTCCACCAAGAGCCACAGCTATGTTCTCCACCAGTAGTACAAGAGTCGTCTGCATGGGGCTGTTAATTGTCCAGTATTCCTATTGATTAAATATGACGCTTGTTTAAAGGGACATGGTCTACCAGCATTCAATGCGGTCGTGTTTTATATTTTTCTTATATGGAAAATGAGGTGACTTCGGATATCTATTCACAATCTGTTTCCATCCATCGGTTTTAAGGTCGAATCTTGCAATATCTCCATTCATATAGCATAAAGGGATAATAAAGAGTAGGTTTTTGCTTATATTACGATGTAT